GGTTTCAAACTATGGATTCTACAGGTATGCACACTGTAGTATGGATCCAACCAGTCCATACTTCTGGAAAGAAAGGCCGACTGCTCATTGGAGGGAAGGATAGTAGAGGCAAAGATGAAGTGTTTTGGCCACAGAATGAAAAGAAAGGAAAGCTTAGAGAAGAGAATGATGCTGGGGAAAATGGAAGGAAAAAGGGAGAGGGGCCGACCAAGGGCAAGATGGATGGATGGCATCCTTGAAGTGACTGGATTGACCTTGAAGGAGCTGGGGTGGTGACGGCCTACAGGGAGCTCTGGCCTGGTCCAGGAGGTCACGAAGAGTAGGAAGCAACTGAGTGAATAAACAACAACAACATACTCTACTTCTGAAGACAATGATCCTGGGGGAAATGGGTCACATTAATTAACATTAATAGTAATTAATTACTATTAATTAACATTAATTAACTAACGTTAATAGCAATTAATAATTAATATTAATGTTAATTAATTGATATCAATTTACTAATGTTTAATTAACATTAATTAACATTAATATTAATTACTATTAACGTTAGTTAATTACTGTTAATTAATGTAAATTAATTACTCTAAATGTTAATTAATGTAAATTAATTAATTAATGTTAGTTAATTGATATTAATTAGTTAACATTAATATTAATTATTAATTACTATAAATGTTAATTAATGTTAATTAAACAACATTAGTAAACTGATATCAATTAATTAACATTAATATTAAATATTAATTACTATTAATGTTAGTTAATTACTGTTAATAGTAATTACTATTAACGTTAATTAATATTAATTATTAATTACTATTAATATTTATTATTAATTACTATTAATGTTAGTTAATTACTGTTAATTAATAGTAATTAATTACTCTAAATGCTAATTAATGTAAATTAACGTTAGTTAATTGATATTAATTAATTAACATTAATATTAATTATTAATTACTATAAATGTTAATTAATGTTAATTAAACAATGTTAGTAAATTGATATCAATTAATTAACATTAATATTAATTACTATTAATGTTAGTTAATTACTGTTAATAGTAATTACTATTAATGTTAGTTAATTACTGTTAATAGTAATTACTATTAACGTTAATTGATGTTAGTTAATTAATGCTAATTAATTAGTTGATCTTTGGAACGGCCCCAGATTATGATTGAGGATGGCATGATTTTAATAGTGAATGCAATGTTTTACATGTTGTAATCTCCAGCAAAGGATCACCGCCTTGTCGGGGCGCTAGAGCTTGAGCACCTCAATGATGTCATGAGCGAAACCGTGAAGGGACACCCAAGACGGGACGGTTGTGGCAGAGAGGTCAGACCAAGCGTGATCCCTGGGGAAGGCAATGGCAAACCACTCCATTATCCTTGCCAAGAAAACTAAATGGACCAGTACAACCAGAGATATGTCGGTATGCCATTGGAAGATGGGACTCCCAGGTCGGAAGATGGCCAAAATGCTACTGGGGAGGAGCAGAGGATAAGTTCAACTAGCCCCAGATATGATGACGCAGCTAGCTCAAAGCCGAAAGGAAGGCTAGCAGCTGACAGTGCTGGAGGTGAACGGCAAATCCAATGCTCTAAAGATCAACACACCATAGGAACCTGGAATGTAAGATCTATGAGCCAGGGCAATTGGATGTTGTTATTGGCGAGATGTCAAGACTAAAGATAGACATTCTGGGGGTCAGCAAACTGAAATTGACCATAATGAGCCACTTCACATCAGATGACCCCCAGATCTACTACTGCGGACAAGAGGAACACCGAAGAAATGGAGTAGCCATCATAATTAATAAGAAAGTCGCTAAAGCAGTGCTTGGATACAACCCAATAAATGACAGAATGATCTCAATTCAAGTGCAAGGAAAGCCTTTTAACATTACAGTGATCCAAATATACGCCCAACCACAGCTGCTGAAGAAGCAGAAGTAGATCAGTTCTATGAGGATCTGCAGGACCTACTGGATAATACACCAAAAAGAGACATTATTTTCATTACAGGAGACTGGAATGCCAAGGTGGGAAGTCAAATGACAACTGGGATCCCAGGCAAGCATGGTCTGGGAGAACAAAATGAAGCGGGACGCAGGCTGATAGAATTTTGCCAGGAAAACTCGCTGTGTATAACGAATACTCTCTTCCAACAACCTAAAAGACGGCTTTATACATGGACTTCACCAGATGGTCAGCACCGAAATCAGATTGACTACATCCTTTGCAGCCAAAGGTGGCGGACATCCATCCAGTTGGTGAAAACAATACCTGGGGCTGACTGTAGCTCAGATCACGAACTTCTTATTGCTCAATTTAGAATAAAACTAAAGAGATCAGGGAAAATACACAGACCAGTTAGATATGATCTCACTAACATTCCTAGCGAATATACAGTGGAAGTGAAGAACAGATTTGAAGGACTAGATTTAGTAAACAGAGTCCCAGAAGAACTATGGACAGAAGTCCGAGACATTGTTCAGGAGGCAGCAACAAAGTACGTCCCAAAGAAAAAGAAAACCAAGAAGGCAAAATGGTTGTCTGCTGAGACACTGGAAGTAGCCCAAGAAAGGAGGAAAGCAAAAGGAAACAGGGATAAGGGGAGATATGCCCAGTTAAATGCGCAATTCCAGAGGCTAGCCAGAAGAGATAAGGAACTATTTTTAAATAAGCAATGCATGGAAGTGGAAGAAGACAACAGAATAGGAAGGATAAGAGACCTCTTCCAGAAAATTAGAAACATTGGAGGTAAATTTCAGGCAAAATTGGTATGATAAGAAACAAAGATGGCAGGGACCTAACAGAAGCTGAAGAGATCAAGAGAAGGTGGCGAGACTATACAGAAGATCTGTATAGGAAGGATAATAATATTGAGATACGTTCGGATAGATAAGTTGGAACCAGACATCCTGAGGAGTGAGGTTGAATGGGCCTTAAGAAGTATTGCTAACAACAAGGCAGCAGGAGACGACGGGATCCAGCTGAACTGTTTAAAATCTTAAAAGATGATGCTGTCAAGGTGATGCATGCCATTTGCCAGCAAATATGGAAAACACAAGAATGGCCATCAGACTGGAAAAAATCAATTTATATCCCCATACCGAAAAATGGGGAATCTAAAGAATGCTCAAACTTTCATACAGTGGGCCCTTATTTCTCATGCCAGTAAGGTAATGCTCAAGATCCTGCAAGGAAGACTCCAGCAATACATGGAGCGAGAGTTGCCAGATGTTCAAGCTGGGTTTAGAAAAGGCAGAGGAACAAGAGACCAGATTGCCAATATCCGCTGGATAATGGAGAAAGGCAGGGAGTTTCAGAAAAACATCTACTTCTGCTTCATTGACTATTCTAAAGCCTTTGACTGTGTGGATCATAATAAATTGTGGCAAGTTCTTAGTGGGATGGGCATCCCAAGCCACCTTGTCTCTCTCCTGAGGAATCTGTATAAGGACCAAGTAGCAACAGTCAGAACTGACCACGGAACAACAGACTGGTTCAAGATTGGGAAAGGTGTACGGCAGGGTTGTATGCTCTCACACAACCTATTCAACTTGTATGCAGAACACATTGTGCGATGTGCGGAGCTTTATGAAGGCAAGGCTGGGGTTAAAAGTGCTGGAAGAACATAAACAACCTTAGATATGCAAATGATACCACTTTGATGGCCGAAAGCAAGGAGGAGTAGAGGAGTCTTCTAATCAAGGTGAAAGAAGAAAGTGCAAAAGCTGGGTTGCAACTAAACATAAAAATCAAAGATTATGGCAACAAGAGTTAACAACTGGGAAATAGAGGGAGAAAACGTGGAGGCCGTGACAGACTTTGTATTTCTAGGTGCAAAGATTACTGCAGATGCAGACTGTGGCCAGGAAATCAGAAGACGCTTACTTCTTGGGAGGAGAGCAATGTCCAATCTCGATAAAATAATAAAGAGTAGAGACATCAGACTGGCAACAAAGATCCGCCTAGTCAAAGCCATGGTATTCCCTGTAGTAACCTACGGATGTGAGAGCTGGACCTTAGGGAAGGCTGATCGAAGGAAGATCGATGCTTTTGAGCTGTGGTGTTGGAGGAAAGTTCTGAGAGTGCCTTGGACTGCGAGAAGATCCAACCAGTCCATCCTCCAGGAAATAAAGCCCGACTGCTCACTGGAGGGAAGGATACTAGAGACAAAGTTGAAGTACTTTGGCCACATCATGAAGAGACAGCAAAGCCTAGAGAAGACAATTATGCTGGGGAAAGTGGAAGGTAAAAGGAAGAGGGGCCGACCAAGGGAAAGATGGATGGATGGCATCCTTGAAGTGACTGGACTGACCTTGAAGGAGCTGGGGGTGGTGACGGCCGACAGGGAGCTCTGGCGTGGGCTGGTCCATGAGGTCACGAAGAGTCGGAGACGACTGAACGAATGAACAACAACAATTAATAATTAATTATTATTAATGTTAATTTATTAATTGTTATTAATGTTAATTTATAACAATTAATTAACGTTAGTTAACTGATCTCAGTTAATATTAATGGTAATTAATTAATGGTAATTAATTAGTTGAGGCCATGGCAGTTAAAGTGGAGCCAAACTGCATTAATATGAAATTAACAATTAATAGTAATACTAATCCATAATTAAATAATAGTAATTAATGTTATCGCCAAGCTATGACTATTACGTTTGTATTCACTAGAACACAACAACATTCAGTTTTGCATTGCTTACCGGTCAAACTTGGGACTTCTATTCCTAGGGATTCTTAGGCTTCGTGACCTTCTGGGAGTTGTAGTCCAATAAGCCACACTTTGGAATCCACAGCAATACTGTTTCAAGGGCGGCAAGACTACGTTTCCCGGCATGCACTTCTTCCCTAGCGGCCTTCCTCGCAGATCACCGCGAAGACATGACGACCATATTCGAACTACACTTCCCGACATGCCTAGAGGTCAGTCTTCTCTTCCACGTGACATCCAATGAGCCAATCAGGAGCGGCGGAACGGCCCTATACTCCTCTGCGGTAGCGGAAGCGGCCTCCTTTTCGCCTGAGCGCCGCGGCCCAAGATGGCGGTCCAGATCTCCAAGAAGCGAAAGGTGGGTCGGTTTGAGGAGAAAGAGGGGCTCGCGGGGGCTCCGGGGAAGGGAGAACCGGGGAAATACCGGCGGGAAAAGGAGCCGCAAGGCGGGACGAACGATTCGGGCGGCTCGGTGGTTCTTTCCGGGCGAGGATGGCGGAGGATGGGCGCGGATTGAGGCCTAGCCCCGTCTCCCCAAACCTGGCTCTGCCTTACTGGACCAACATGGCGGAGAAGGAACGGAAGCCTATACCTTTGTAAGGAGAGAGAGAAGGGCCAAAAAGGTCCTGTTTGAGAAAAGGCTTGTTTACAAACAGCACAGAAGACAGGGTTTTTGTTGCATTATTATTGCAAGGCCGCAACTGTGCTAAGTAATAGCCAGGATGGAAGGGTTTGCATTCAATCAGGAGGGGCCCCAAAGGACATCCAATCCATTCTGCCAGGCAGGAAGATACCACTCTATCCCTCCCAACAGATGGCCATACGGATTCTGCTTAGAGACTTCCAGGGTAGCGTTTCCTTTGCAGGGTACAACTGCAAAGTAACAGCTTGGGGAGAAGGTTTGTATTCAATCAAGGGAGGCCCTAAAGGACATCCAATCCAACCCCATTCTGCCAGGCAGGAAGATAGCATTCAATCCCTCCCAACAGATGGCCATACGGATTCTGCTTAGAGACTTCCAAGGCAGTGTTTCCTTTGCAGGGCACAATTGCAAAGTAACAGCTTGGAGAGAAGGGTTTGCATTCAATCAGGAGAGGCCTCAAAGGACATCCAATCCAACCCCATTCTGCCAGGCAGGAAGATAGTATTCAATCCCTCCTGAGAGATGGCCAGACATCTAATCCAACCCCATTCTGTCAGGCAGGAAGATACCACCCAATCCCTCCCAACAGATGGCCATACGAATTCTGCTTAGAGACTTCCAGGGCAGCGTTTCCTTTGCAGAGCACAATTGCAAAGTAACAGCTTGGAGAGAAGGGTTTGCATTCAATCAGGAGAGGCCCCAAAGAACATCCAATCCAACCCCATTCTACCAGGCAGGAAGATAGCATTCAATCCCTCCTGACAGATGGCCATACGGATTCTGCTTAGAGATTTTTAGGGCACAACTGCAAAGTAACAGCTTGGAGGGAAGGGTTTGCATTCAATCAAGAGAGGCCCCAAAGGACATCCAATCTAACCCCATTCTGCCAGGCAGGAATAGAATACAATCCCTCCCGACAGATGGCCATACCAATTCTGCTGAGAGACTTCCAGGGCAGCGTTTCCTTTGCAGGGCACAACTGCAAAGTAACAGCTTGGAGAGAAGGGTTTGCATTCAATCAAGAGAGGCCCCAAAGGACATCCAATCCAACCCCATTCTGCCAGGCAGGAAGATACCACTCAATCCCTCCCGACAGATGGCCATACTGATTCTGCTTAGAGACTTCCAGGGCAGCGTTTCCTTTGCAGGGCACAACTGCAAAGTAACAGCTTGGAGAGAAGGGTTTGCATTCAATCAAGAGAGGCCCCAAAGGACATCCAATCCAACCCCATTCTGCCAGGCAGGAAGATACCACTCAATCCCTCCCGACAGATGGCCATACTGATTCTGCTTAGAGACTTCCAGGGCAGCGTTTCCTTTGCAGGGCACAACTGCAAAGTAACAGCTTGGAGAGAAGGGTTTGCATTCAATCAAGAGAGGCCCCAAAGGACATCCAATCCAACCCCATTCTGCCAGGCAGGAAGATACCACTCAATCCCTCCCGACAGATGGCCATACTGATTCTGCTTAGAGACTTCCAGGGCAGCGTTTCCTTTGCAGGGCACAACTGCAAAGTAACAGCTTGGAGAGAAGGGTTTGCATTCAATCAAGAGAGGCCCCAGAGGACATCCAATCCAACCCCATTCTGCCAGGCAGGAAGATACCACCCAATCCCTCCCAACAGATGGCCATACGGATTTTGCTTAGAGACTTCCAAGGCAGTGTTTCCTTTGCAGGGCACAATTGCAAAGTAACAGCTTGGAGAGAAGGGTTTGCATTCAATCAAGAGAGGCCCCAAAGGACATCCAATCCAACCCCATTCTGCCAGGCAGGAAGATACCACCCAATCCCTCCCGACAGATGGCCATACGGATTCTGCTTAGAGACTTCCAGGGCACAACTGCAAAGTAACAGCCTGGCAGGAAGGGTTTGCATTCAATCAAGAGGAGCCCCAAAGGACATCCAATCCAACCCCATTCTGCCAGGCAGGAAGATACCACCCAATCCCTCCCGACAGATGGCCATACGGATTCTGCTTAGAAACCTTCAGGGAAGGGATTCTCAACTTTCCTAATGCCGAAACCCCTTCATACAGTTTCTCATGTTGTGGTGGCCCCCCAACCATAACATCATTTTCATTGCTACATCATAACAAATTTTGCTACTGTTATGAATCGTAATGTAAATATATTTGTTCATTCACTAGACCAGATTTGGCACAAATACCTAATATGCCCAAATTTGAATACTGGTGGGGTTGGGGTGGGGGGGTCGATTTTGTCATTTGGGAGTTGTAGTGGCTGGGATTTATAGTTCGCCTGCACTCAGAGCATTCTGAACTCCACCAACGATGGAATTGGCACACAAAACTCCCATGACTAACAAAGTACTGAAAGGCTTTGGTGGGCATTGACCTTGGGTTTTGGGGTTGTAGTTCACCTACATGCAGAGAGCACTACAACTCTGGACTAAACTTGGCATGAATACTCAATATGCCCAAATGGGAAGACTGGTGGAGCTTGTGGAAATTTGGGGGTTCTAGTTGCTGGGATTTATAGTCCACCTACAATCAAGGAGTGTTCCGAACTCCACCAACGATAGAATTGGGCCAAACTTCCTACACAGAACCCCCATAGCCAAGAGAAAATACTGTAGTTTCTGATCGTCTTTGGCAACCCCTCTAACACCCCTCGCAACCCCCAAGTTGAGAATCTATATTATTGAATCAGATAACCTAAGGGCCCTTCCAAAGAGGCCCTATATCCTAGTACCTGATCCCAGGTTTTCTGCTTTAAACTGGATTATATGAGTCCACACTGAGATAATCTGGGATAAACAAAAACTGGGATCAGATCTTGGGATATAGGGCCTGTCTGGAAGGGGCCTCTGAGTTACAGTGCTTGTGGGGCATTAGCAATCAAGTCCTAATTGATTGATCTGTTGGTAGTTGCACATTGGACCATCTAGTCCAGTGGTTCCCAACCGTTGGTCGTCCAGGTGTTTCGGACTTCAACTCCCAGAAATCTATATCCTTTTATGTGGCCCTTCAAATGCTGGACTATAACTCCTGTATTCCTCCTCATTAGACATCCTGATTAGAACTGATGGGAGTTGTGATACAGGTACATCCGGAAGGCTGTTGTTTGTTCTGTTTAGTTAGGAGAGTGGGATTTGGAATCAGATACAGGGCTTTTGGATATGATGTTGGGCTTTGAAATGTCCTTTTCCCTTTCCCCAAACTCGGAGCACAATGGTTGTTGGGTTGCAACTCCCATTATACCTCAGAATGCATGGCAGATAATCAAAAGTGATGGGAGTTTATTATTATTTTTTTTACAGCTTTTATATTCCGCCCTTCTCACCCCACAGGGGACTCAGGGTGGATTACAATGTACACATATATGGCAAACATTAATGCCAATTTTGACATACAACATATACAGACATACACAGAGGCTATTTAACTTTTTCTGGCCGCCAGGGGAGCTGTCGCTTTCATCGTCCATCTGCGACGCTGATGAAGCACTTCCGCATTCCCCGCATGCTTCCCCGCTGGAATGCTTTTGCTGGAGTCTTCTTTATGGCCTCATAAATCAGTTAATTTAGCCTCCCCACACTTGTAAGGTGGTACCTTATTTTCCTACTTGACAGATGCAACTGTCTTTCGGGTTGCAAAGGTCGACAACAGGCTACACACAATTGGTTGGAAACCCACTCCAACCCGGGCTGGCTTCAAACTCATGATCTTTTGGTCAGAGTGATCTTAACGCAGCTGACACTCAGCCAGCTGTGCCACAATCCCGGTTGTCATACAACAATATCTGGGGACTCAAAATGGGTAAAAACTAAAGTGCACAACGGCTATTGAAATAATTATATGTCTGTATTCATGGATTCTCCATTCATAGATTCAACAGCCCTTTGACAGCACCCATGAGGGAAAGACTAACAAGCAGAATAGGAGAATAGTGTCTAGATCTAAGGAAGTAATGCTACCCCTCTATTCTGCTTTGGTTAGACCACAACTGGAATATTGTGTCCAATTCTGGGCACCACAATTCAAGAGAGATATTGACAAGCTGGAATGTGTCCAGAGGAGGGCGACTAAAATGATCAAGGGTCTGGAGAACAAGCCCTATGAGGAGCGGCTTAGGAGCTGGGCATGTTTAGCCTGAAGAAGAGACGGCTGAGAGGAGATATGATAGCCATGTATAAATATGTGAGAGGAAGCGACAAGGAGGAGGGAGCAAGCTTGTTTTCTGCTTCCTTGGAGACTAGGATGCAGGAACAATGGCTTCAAACTACAAGAGAGGAGATTCCATCTGAACATGAAGAAGAACTTCCTGACTGTGAGAGCCATTCAGCAGTGGAAAACTCTGCCCCGGAGTGTGGTGGAGGCTCCTTCTTTGGAAGCTTTTAAGCAGAGGCTGGATGGCCATCTGTCAGGGGTGATTTGAATGCAATATTCCTGCTTCTTGGCAGGGGGTTGGACTGGATGGCCCATGAGGTCTCTTCCAACTCTTTGATTCTATGATTCTATGAAGGTTGTTTCTGGGGTCTAATCCTGTGGTTCGATCTTTTTCAGTTTGTGGCCGATGGTATCTTCAAAGCAGAACTGAATGAATTTCTGACTCGTGAGCTGGCTGAAGATGGCTACTCCGGGGTGGAAGTCCGAGTTACCCCAACCAGGACAGAAATCATCATCCTCGCCACCAGGTGACTTGGCTCATCAGAGTTTCTGTCAGTCTGCAAGAGTTATTCCCCTTGTGTTTGGTGAGGAGAGCGGGCAGAGCTACTTTTTTTGTAAGCCCGATAGATAACCAGGATTTCCCTCAAGATACTAGAGCAGGCATGAGCAGCCTTTGGCCTTCCAGATGTTTTGGACTTCAGCTCTCACAATTCCTAACAGCGGGCTTCCGGAGAGGCCCTGTTCTCGGTCCCACCACCTTCGTAGTCGCGCTTGGTGGGGACGAGGGACAGGGCCTTCTCTGTGGTGGCCCCCCAGCTATGGAATTCTCTCCCCAATGGGGTTAGGTCCTTACTTTCAGGAAGCAACTGAAATCCTGGCTTTGGAATCAGGCATTCGCAGATTGATGGATTTAACCAGTAAAGACTAAGAGTTGTTGAATCACAATATTTGGATTGAGCTGGATGATGTTTTTAACTCACCAAACTGTCTTTTATATGTATTTTATAATCTATTTATTATGTATGTTATTTTTAAAATGTTATTTATTGTGTAGCATTGAATTTTTGCTGTTAGCCATTCTGAGTCCCTCCACGGAGGTAGAGAAGAACGGGATATAAAAGTTCTAAATAAATAAACATGCTAAATAAATACATTGTTCTCCAAGTATCATTCTGTTGTTGTTTGTTTCAGAACTCAGAATGTTCTGGGAGAAAAAGGGCGCCGTATCCGTGAGCTGACAGCTGTTGTGCAGAAGCGGTTTGGCTTTCCCGAAGGAAGCGTTGAGGTAAGGGGCGACTGTGGCTTCTGCTCTTTATGTTTCTGGCCATTTTGTTTATGTCCCCTTCAGTGATGATTCGATGACGAGTCAGAAAAGGATGCTCTCCTGCCCAGAGCAAACAGCTCCGTGCCTCGTTCTGTGGTGCTGAGCCTGGCTGCTCTGGGAGAGGTGTCCTGTTCATTGGATGATCTAGAGGCATTTGTCTGAGAAGGGTGAATCTTGGGCTTGCGCCCTATAAAATAAATTATGACTGAATTTAAGCTTGATGTAGTCCAAGGTTGTCCTGGACTACATCATTGGAAGAAGAAGAATGGTCTTGAGCCACGCACTGCAGTAAAACTGAAGCTATGATTTTGTTTTGGGCCACACTCATTGCTGTCTTGGGCCACAAATAGCGAGAGGATATGGTATGCAGCGGCTCTATGCCTAGTACAGAATACACACTCTGATTTTTTTTTCAACGATTCATTTTATGCAACATTGCAACATATTTTAAATTATAATTCAATTTAATATAACAGCAGAGAGGAAACAACCAGGCACATCTTAACACCTCTCAACAAAAGATTCCTCCAGGCTCAGCCAGGCCTTCAAATGCTAATGAAGGTGGTCAGCTGAAACATTCACACCTAGCTCCAGCAGAGAAGAGCTCTTTGTCCCAACCGTGGTCATTCCATAGATATATAAACCCATTTTCCTAATTCCAACAGACCTCACTACCTCTGAGGATGCTTGCCATAGATGCAGGTGAAACGTCAGGAGAAAATGCCTCTAGAACATGGCCATATAGCCCGAAAAAACCCACAAGAACCTAGTGATTCCAGCCATGAAAGCCTTCGACAATACATTAATATAACAATGTTTTGTTTCTTCTGTCCAAACCTTTGCAATTATAAGGCAAATCACAGATAATACTCCAAATGTTGTAGACATAGCATACTCTGATTATTCTGTGCTGTTATATACAAAACTCATGCTTGAGAGCCACACAATTGAGTTACCATTTTAAAAAAAACTTTAAAGTATATACTAATGAGGCCATATCTAATTTGTATGTGAGGTGTGTATTATTATTATTATTATTATTCATTTATACCCTGCCTTTCTCACTCCAATGGGGACACAGGGCAGCTTACAAACCATGGCTGCATTACATATAATAATAATAATAATAATAATAATAATAATAATAATAATTTATTTATATAAATAAATCTCCCCGAGGGGACTCAGAGCAGTTCCCAAGTAACATCACAAAACATACAGAGTGAAAACAACATAACCACAAGATTAACAAACAAAACATAAGCATAAAAATTGTCACCATAACATACATATATTAAAGTAATCCTGCCTTTTCAAGGCAATTAAACATTTAAAAGGCCGGGCCAAGATTTGTGCAAGCCCAAAAATTCTAGGGGGCCCGGGAATCAAGTGCAATGCTATGACAGGCAGCAATAATATTAGGTACGGGTCTGTGGCTGTTCATTCCGGGGCCGATTAGAGGAAAGAATCTGGGTAACTGGTAGGAAGAATAATGCCGTATTAGACAATGTGTGGAGCTGAGTTAGAACTGGTCATTTTCAAAGGCTTGTTGAAACCACCAGGTCTTCAAGTTCTTACGAAAGGAGGGGAGGCATGAGGCCTGTCTTATTTCCCTTGGAAGGGCGTTTCAGAGGCGAGGGGCCACCACTGAGAAGGCCCTCTCTCTCGTCCCCATCAACCGTACTTGAGACGGTAGTGGGACCGAGAGGAGGGCCTCCCGGAAGATCTTAGAGCTCGTGCCGGTTCATAGAAGGAGATGTGATTGCGGAGATAGACGGGGCCCGAACCGTTTAGGACTTTATAGGTCATGACCTGCACCTTGAATTTGGCTCGGCAACTTAGCAGCCAATGAAGCTGTTTTGATAGAGGACATGACATATCAATTTCAACTTACAGTAATAAACATGATATGTCAATTGAACAATTCTAATATAAGTACAACAAAACAGCTTAAAATGTATGTATTAGTAATAACCAATTGGCTGTACCAAATAACAACACAAGACATACTACCTTGTGAATCTGCAGGCTCCATGCAATAATAGAACATAAAATATATTGATTTGATTAGTGATGAAATGCAGGAATGTAATGACAACATTTACCAGATGTTGTTTCAATTGTGTACGTTTTTATTATGAAATCAGTCAGTACATTTTTGCTGACTCCACGCTAAATTGTATCCAACCACAAGCCTGATATTTGGTGGTTTCTTATGAGCTGTTCTGTGGGTATTTCCTTGTGATGCCTCAATTTTTACCGCATCCTCTCTTCTTCCATTAAAGCTTCTGAGACTTTGCCCCCTTGTGCTAGGCATGTCTAGAAGGATGCTTTCCTTCCAAATAGGCCAAGCAGAAGGGGTCACCTGGTTGAGCTTGCCACCAACACTGAAGTGTTGGCATGGCTGCATCTCCAGGTTGAGCTGCTGTTTTGGGACCTTTGGTTAAGGAAGCACCTTCCTGATATTGCACGAGGCACAGCCCCAGCGGGCTCCTCGTTGAGACATGGTGTGTCCATGCCTTTATGGGATGCCTTGATGCAGCCTGTGGCGTAGAGGTCAACCCCTCAAGCCTTAGGAAGGTCCGGTGGATTCCCGTGTCAGTCACAAATCCTGTCTCATGTAAGTATTTTCATGGCTTTGTTGATCCCCAAACAAAGGGAAAACCAGCACAACAGAGACAGAGCAAGCTTGACTGTTCGTGTGTATAGCATTCATAAAACTGACATTTGAGTTAACACTCAAATATGTGAAATGACATCTCACAAGACTGGGATTTACTTTAATAGAAACTTTGGGACCAGAGGAAGAAATGGAAAAATAGAGATAGATTTCCTCTTCTGTTTTGTATTATTTATTATTTACAGTATTTATATTCCGCCCTTCTCACCCCACAGGGGACTCGGGGCGGATTACAATGTACATATACGTGGCAAACATTCAATGCTATAGACACACAACATACATAGACAGACACACAGAGGCTATTTAACATTCCAGCTTTTCCATGAGGGTATTCTGGCCACCAGGGGAGCTGTCACCTCACTGTCAATTTGTGACACTCATGAAGTACTTCCTCATTCTTTGCATGCTTGCTGGAGATTTTTATGGCGTCGTAAATTAGCCTCCCCGCATAAGCGGTACCTAAATTTCCTACTTGATAGTTGCAACTGTCTTTCGGGCAGCAAAGGTCGACAGCAAGCTACACAAATTGGTCAGAAGCTCACTACGACCCAGGCTAGCTTTGAACTCATGACCTTTTGGTCAGTAGTGATCTTAATGCAGCTGACTTCCAGCCAGTTGTGCCACAGTCCCAGTGCAGTTGTTGACCAAAAGGTTGCAGGTTCGAATCCGGAGATTGGCATGAGCTCCCGCTGTCAGCCCCAGCTTCTGTCAACCTAGCAGTTCAAAAACATGCAAATGTGAGTAGATCAATAGGTACCACGTAATTGGGAAGGTAACAGCACCCCATGCAGTCACGCGGGCCACATGACCTTGGAGGAGTCTATGGATAACGCTGGCTCTTCGTCTTTGAAATGGAAATGAGCACCACTTCCCAGTTGAAATGCAGTAGTGTCTTTCTCCAGCTCTCTTTCACCATCTTCGTGATGCTTATTTTGCAAAAGATCTTATTAAAAAGGAGTTTCTTGGTCAGAGGCTTGATACCTGAGTCATGCCTGTATTCTGCTTTCTCTCCCAGCTCTATGCAGAGAAGGTGGCTACAAGGGGACTGTGTGCGATTGCCCAAGCTGAGTCCTTGCGTTACAAGCTTTTGGGGGGGCTCGCAGTACGTAGGTAAGTGCCCACACTCTTTATTGAAAATATTTCAAGTGGTAAACTTAGTGTAAATTTGCTGCCACGTTCCCTTTGTTTTTCTTCTTTTATGTTTGTGTAACTGAAATACTGAATTTCCTTCCAATATTGTCTAGCTTTGATCAGTTGTTTCTTTGCATTGAGAAATCTTTACATAGGAGAGGTGCCATTCATCTGCACGTCATAAGCTTGAAAGTACAGCTAGTTCCCAATAATACAGTGGAGGACCTATGATTCCTAGTGAGAACACTTCTCTGGACATTTCTAGGTCCTCTAGAATGATTCTATGGCCAGCGTTCAGTAGATACCCTAGTTTTTATTCATTGTTTTTCCATTTTTACAAGGGTTTACAAAAGTGGGGGACTACAATTTGCAGTGGAAACATTACTAACGCTTGACGCTCAGGTGTTGGCAGTGGCGGAGAGGGCCTTTGCACAATACCTCATGAAGTCTGATTTGCGACAATACCTCATGAAGTCTGATTTGGCCATGGTGGTCCACACCTTAGTTACCTCTAGACTGGACTATTGCAATGCACTCTACGTGGGGCTACCCTTGAAGATGGCCCGGAAACTTCAACTGGTCCAACGATCGGCAGCCAGATTACTAACGAGTGAATTACAGGGAGTGGTCTACCCCCCTATTTAAGGAGCTCCATTGGATGCCATTCATTTTCCAGTCCCAATTCAAGGTGTAGGTTATTGCCTACAAAGCCCTGGATGGCTTGGGACATGCCTACCTTCGTGACCACTTTTCCTTCTATGAACCTGCATGGTCCCTTCGATCTTCTGGGGAGGCCCTCCTCTAGCTCCCACCTCCGTAGCAAGCACTACTTGTGGGAATGAAGGAGAAGGCCTTCTCTGTGGTGGCCCCTCGACTTTGGAACTTGCTACCTGGAGAGATTAGGCAAGAGCCCACCTTGGCAGCCTTCAGGAAGAGCCTAAAAACTTGGCTGTTCCGGTATGCCTTCGAGGAATGAACAACAAATCCCCGTATCTTGACCTACTCAGTACAAAACGCCCTGCGATGCACTTTATCTCACTATTCAGTGACATTAAACCCCATTGTTTGTCCCATCTGAACCCCCACCAGATACATTATCTTATTCACCCATCTCATCCTATTCTTTTATTCACCCCTGCCCACTCCGCTCAATTTTTCTGTTATTTATGTTACATTGTGTGTTTAATTTGTATTATTTTATTTTGATACATTTTGTTGTATTTTATTTGATGTATTATTGTATGATTATATGTTTGTATTCTTTTTGTCTTGTTGTATTTGTTGGGCTTGGCCTTATGTTAGCCGCCCCGAGTCCCCTCGTGGAGATGGTGGTGGGGTATAAATAAAGTTTTATTTATTATTATTGTTATTGTTATTTTACTGACACAAAAGCATAGTATGTCACAGCAGACGAGATCTATATGCTGGATTTCATATTATCATTATTATTTTTGATATTATTATTATTTGTTTGGAGCATTATATATCTGCTTTATGCTCAGTTGTAACTTTGGTTCTCACCACACTTGTTTGTGGCCTCGTGCAACAAATCCCTTCAGTGATGATACGATGACGAGTCAGAAATGGCCACCCTCCTGCCCAGAGTCATCAACATTGTGCCACGTTCTGTGGCTCTCTGTTTGTTGCTCTGGTCAGAGGTGTCCTCTTCCTTGGATGATCCTGAGGCATTTGTCTGAGAAGGGATGCTGTGCCAAAATCATTAGAGCTGAGCATTTTGTTGTCCTTCCTCTTTTATTTGTAATCAAGTGAATCAAGTAGATTTACACAGGGTTGTTGTAGATTTTTTTGGGCTGTATGGCCATGTTCTAGAGTCATTCTCTCCTGAGGTTTCGCCTGCATCTATGGCAAGCATCCTCAGAGGTTGTGAGGTCCTCACAACCTCTGAGGATGCTTGCCATAGGTGCAGGCAAAACGTCAGGAGAGAATGCCTCTATATATGGCCATACAGCCCAAAAAAACCTACAACAATCCAGCAATTCAGGCCATGAAAGCCTTCGACAATACAAGATTTTCACGTCTCTTGTTTTCCCCTTGCTAGGGCCTGTTATGGTGTCCTTCGCTTCATCATGGAGAGCGGAGCCAAGGGCTGTGAAGTGGTGGTTTCCGGCAAGCTCCGAGGCCAGCGAGCCAAGTCCATGAAGTTTGTAGATGGCCTGATGATCCACAGTGGAGACCCCGTCAACTACTATGTTGACACAGCTGTGCGCCACGTCCTCCTTAGACAGGGTAAGCAGTGGAGGGATATTTGGTATCTTTCTTAGAGCACAGTGTTGTGAAGGAGCTTATGGTAGAAATTGTTGAACATTGCAACCTTCTCAAGCCTCCTCTATTTAATGTTTTGCTTATAATGTGTTGTTATTTCCTAAAGTGTATGTCTTCTTTGGTTTGCAGTTTTCTTTAGCTCTGTGTACATGAGGCAGTGGGAGGGGCTGCAGACCATGTGACTGGTGCGGTGACTGTTTAGAATGCCATTTAAAAGCACGACAGTTGAGCCTTGAGTTAGTTTGAGTACAGAAGTCAGTGTAGGAAGTTAGAAAACTGTTGAGGCTTGAGTCCCTTGGAAATAGACTGTTATGAAAGAGAACTGTACAGAACAATATAGAATCACAGAGTGGGAAGAGACCTCATGGGCCATCCAGTCCAACCCCATTCTGCCAAGAAGCAGGAATATTGCATTAGGAGAGCGGAGTGCAAATACAGACATCTTGCACGTGAAAGAATGTGTCATGGAATATCAAAAATCAGGAAAATTGCATTCAAATCACCCCTGACAGATGGCCATCCAGCCTCTGTTTAAAAGCTTCCAAAAAAGGAGCCTCCACCACACTCCGGGGCAGAGAGTTCCACTGCAGAACGGCTCTCACAGTCAGGAAGTTCAATATAGTTTTGAAGAGACTGTAAGTTAAAGATACAAACTGAAACGTTACAAAGTTTAATGTAATATAATGTAATATTATTAATAATAATGCAATATAATGGTATAGTACAATATAGTAATATTTAATACTGATATTGTACTATGCGAATAATATAATATATTGTATGTATATACATATCTTGTAAGCCGCTCTGAGTCCCATAGTCATAGTCATAATCATATTCACATTTCATCATCCTCCTTCCTTGTGGACGGAGGTTATAGATTCAGTCCTCGAATGCCACATTCCAGAGCCAGGTCTTTAGTAGTTTCCTGAAAGTCAGGAGGGAGGGAGCAGATCTAATCTCTAGTGGGAGGGAGTTCCAAAGCCGGGGAGCCACCACCGAGAAGGCCCTGTCCCTCGTCCCCACCAACCGTGATTGCGAGGGTGGTGGGACCGAGAGCAGCCCCCCCCCCCCCGGAAGATC